ATGCATAAGGTGTTTCGCTGTGAGATCCTTATTCTTGCTACTACTTCGAAATTTTAAGTGCACAAATATCAGCTTCCACGACACGTACTACAATGAAACTGTTACTCCACGTTTGATGCGCTGCAGCATACATGCAGTAGAAATTGCAGGTGAAATGGAGCTCTAATTTCCGAGGTTTGTTTAGTTGCAAATTCGAGGTGGAAGTGCATTTATAGCCAACCATGTGTGGACTCTACAAGGAATCACCTTAACCTCTTTACATTACTGAGTTGATAGGATGAGCATCAGGCCTTGATAAATACAATTTTTATTCGCGTGATTTTCGGAAAACAATACATTTCATCACAACTATGATTACATCACTTATCAAAGTGAATCCTGCTCCTTAATATGTGCTAACAAAATCTCCCATCATGTGACCTTTGTGGGAATGCAGAGTTTATAATGGTCCCCAAAATATCAAAAGTCACGTTGATATTCTTTCCCCATCCCGACCTGATTGCAAGGACGTGGCCGGCACACAATTGTTTGTTTCTGATTGTCATTTCAACTTGTACAGTGATAATGGAAGATAACTTTCAGACGCATCCAGTTGACTCATTGTGCAGTTTCACTGATGTTGATCACTCACATAATAGCAACCACTGATATGCGAAGTCAACAGAAGCTAAGCGAAGATAAGTTCCTACATAACAATTAAGGCTGGTAAGTTACTGTAGTAATTGCAGCACCTATGTTAAAATAAATGAAATGTAATTTATTTTGAATTTGGAACAAACAAAGAACATAAGTTCCTATCCGACCTTGCAGCAAATAGGGGAAATGTTTCAGTTTTCAGCATAAGTGCTTCAGTTTTTTCCATAAGTTTTTCAATCCCAGTCCGCACCGCCGGGATGTTCTGAGGCACAGGAGCTGGCATAGATTTCATTTAAAGACATATTTATACCAGCCTCTGCCTGAAAATCTTGGTTAAAAATACATAAAGAAAAGGTCACTCGCCTACATCAATCACATTTAAGTCATTTAGCTCGAATCTCGTGCGCTGAAATGAGCCGCCACGTGCTGACTGATAAGTAAACAGCTTCCGTCAATTTTAATTTACACAAAAGCCCCTATTGCACTGTCTCCCATCATCGTAAGCGAACGAAAAACAGGACGGAATCAGCCGGTTCGGAAATAATCTCAACAACTTGTGCGTATGTTCAGCCAGACATTATGCGTCATACTAGACTTACAGTTAGGATAAAGTTTGTGCGGAGCAGTGCTTATAGATCATTTTACGAGACGTTTCTGATTCAACTCATGAACTTTGACATGAGGCGATTACCCAATGGCTGTGATTTACACATATCTCATTCATTTTCGTGGACTATATATCTCATTCATTTTCGGTGATTTATGATAAATCAGCATTTCCACCTTCATAATGATCTTCAAGAAAGACCATGACGGTTTTACGTGGCGTAAAACTGTAAGGGAATCTTACCTTACCCGGATGAATAAGAGTCCCTGGTAAGGTAAGATTCCTCCTCCCCCCTCCCCTATACATATCCGAAAGTGGAAAGTTTACTGTATGCGTTCAAATGTTTATTTCAGAACGGTCTACGTTCATCCTTCTATAAAAGTGATACAAGTAAGAAACTGAGGTAATTTTTTGTTCTGTGATTGGTAATAATCGTTAATGAAAACGGGAGTGCGGTTACCGGTGCTTCGTTCATAGCCGTTAAAGTTATTCGAACCTATCCTGAACGTTACAATATTTACAGTAATGTTCCACATCCGAAAAAAAAATTCCATTCACAAAAAAATACGGAAATGATAACAAACAAAACTCACATGCTCACGTAAAGAATTTTCTAGACAGGCGGCACACCTACCTACTGTGAGAAATGCTCTCCTCTTGCTAATAAACCAGCGTGCTCAATCAATGGTATCATTCCCAACGCGGCCTGCTTAAATAACAACAACATGCTTTTCGGTAAACAAATCGTCATCGCCACCTCTTGAATGAACTCGAAAACACACCGGCTATATGCCCCATCGAGAGTGTGCCCGTGAGTACCTAGTTACCCCATCGTCATCATCGTCGCAACCAAGCCGTGCGGTGAATGCCAAGTTCATAATACACCGTTGACTAGCGCTTAGCTTCAGTTCTCAACGGAAACTCGAACAGTGAACATCACAGAATACAGGCATATAAAAACAGACAGCTCAGCCGAGAAAAAATCAACCGAACCTTGATTGTTATAAGTGTTTTAAAAAACCGGTCTCACAGCTGATTGTGTGTCTGTGTACAGTGTATAAAATTAAGGATTTTGAACTTTGCGGTTGGAAGCCACAAAGGCGAAGCATATTGGTCCTACAGTGCAGTGAGATTTCAATTTTTAGATCACCGTGCACGTCTTCTACTCTACTATCAGTGAGGTACATCTAGAAAGTGATATTTAGACTTATGAATTATTTAATGAGATTGGATGGCTTTGTCTTTGTTGGTTGGAATAAAGAAATAATTATTAATCCTGCGTGACTCAGTACAGACAGCTGCAGGGCTTCCCAAGCAAAGGTGATAAATGTACAGTTTTTACTGCAGAGATGCTACCACTAAATTGTATGGGGGAGACTAATGTCACGACATTTTCCGGCATAACATTTTCATGACATTTATCACCCAAGAATCACCCACATTTACCCAAGAACAGGAGCTCTGCTCCATTATCATAGCTCTCAATGCAATGCTCTTTGTGATACTTGATATGGGTAACATGAGCCACCTCATATAATTAGGAATGCGAGGAAAATTGCTTATTTATGCGCGAATGGTACATTATTTAGAAAAGTGCTGGCCGATGGTGTTGCATAAAGGAAATGGCGAGGAGCACGCAGTAGGAGAGCAAAAACAGATTACAGTGGCTGTATCCCACAGTATGATGGTATTGGCGACGGACGAATGAAACGGTGTGATTCAATGTGTTCAACAACGCCGTCAGTGGCAGTGGTGTTACATGCAAAGGGATTATGGTGGCAACTCGATGTAGAAGCCGAAGCAGTTGAACCGGGTACCGTGTGTGCTTATGAGTTCTTTGCTGTCGAGTGCTGATTTCTACATGAAGTGAAGTGGCACTGAGACGTTCATTATCTATGCGGTTTTTTGTGGGGAGCTGGTTCTTGGTTGATCGGTTCGTAATCTGTGAAATGTGTTGACGAATTTTCACTACAGGATGCATTGCAAAATACTTCGATTTCTAAAAATGATGGTAAATAAACTGTTGAATAATGCAGGCCAGCCAATGGCCCAGTGTCTCAATAAGTTTACAATAATTTTACTTTATTCTGGGTCACTGAATACGAGTTTGAAATCAGATTGTGTTAAAATTAACATCTTTGTATCATAAAAATTATTTTATGCAAAAAATGATGTTAATTGCGTTCATCTAGGCGTATGTTTAACTGTTGTTTAAGGTTCAATTTACTTTGATGCATTTTCGAAAAAATCAAAAGTAGTTTTTGCGGCGCATCATTTCAGATTGCAAAAAGCTCGCGTCATTCTATTCTTTTTGCAATTTTACATAACATGATGCAATCTGAACTGATGCGTTGAAAAAAACTGCATTTGATTTTTACGAAAATGCATTAAAGTAAAATGATCCTTAACAAAATATACAGTTTGTTTGTAAGCCAGAACTTTTGTCGAATTTCAGCGAAAACAAATTAAGTATAAATACTAGTTCCTGAATATGAAATATGCATAAAAGTCTGCATGACCAACTTCACCCAAGAATTGATAATTTGCATTTTTCATCTAATTTTAATTAAAAAAAAAATAAGCATGCATTTTCAAAACGAAATTCGTACATTAGAAAAGCATTTCATAGTACAGGTACCTCTCAATTTATGAATCTGCCAAAAATATGGTTGGAAAAATATCCAGGTTTATCGGTAAAATGTGATCAACTTCACCCCGATTTACGGTATTCGATTTTTTTTTTAATAAATCGTAGTACGAGAACTTCTAGTTGACATGACGTGTGAGATGAGCGGCGCCGGTGGTAAGCGTGACTGCATCTCACCCCAAAAGGCCTGGGTTCAATCTCAGTCGGCACCACCGGGATTTTCTGAGGTATAAAATCTTTGATTACGCCTTCCTTCGAAAGGGAAGTAAAGCAGTTGGTCCCTGGTTCATGAGTTGATGGGTCGATAGGTAGGGTCCAGGTGTGGGAGCTGCCTCTCTGGTGTTGGTAGCATTGGTGCTCAGCACAAAAAAACAAGATCGACGGAAAACAAATCAAAAGTAGTTTTGGGAAAAAAAACTCCTAAGGAGTATTACAAAAACCTACATTTTAAATTGTTTTCTGAAAAAAAATTACAAATAATTGTAAACAATGAAAAAAGTTCAAGAATACTACCAAAAGTTGTTGTTCTAATTTTTTTGTCAATTTTTAAGTGACCAAGGTTTTAAATATTTCAAAAGAATGCATTTTTCATAAGCTCTTTTTTAATGAATGGAACAAAATTACTAGGGGCACGCAATAACCTTTCACTCAAACGCTGGCAACGGCTGTAATTAAATTTATTTCATTAACTACTGCTTTAATTACATAAATTTCACAATATAGAACATCAACTACTTTTTGACTCCATTCATCACAGTTGAAATTTCGTAATTAGTGGGGTCGGTGGTGTAGTGGTAAGCGTGATTGCCTCTCACCCCAGCAGGCCTGGGTTCAATCCCAGTTGGCGCCGCCGGGATGTTCTGAGGCATAACATCTCTGATCACGCCTTCCTTCGGAAGGGAAGTAAAGCCGTTGGTCCCCGGTAAATGAGTTGATGGGTCGATAGGTAGGGTCCAGGTGTGGGAGCTGCCTCCCTGGCGTGTGTAGCATTGGTGCTCAGTACGGAAAACAAGATCGACGGAAAATAAATCAAGGAAAAAAAAAAGAAATTTCGTAATTAAAGTTCATTAATTACATTTTCAATACTTTTAATTACATTAATTACGGATAGATAATTTTAATTACCGTCAGTGCTACTTCAAAACGCATTAATTACTTTAAGTACTTTTGATTGCATTTTAACTTCAACGCACCGGTTCTTTGAATTGCGTGCCCCTCGCAAAATTATTGAGCAAGGGCATTTTAATTTATTTAAGGTTTTAACACTTTTATGGCTATTATTTCTCAAAATAAGTAAACAAATTTACCGTTAATATTATGCATAGAAAAACGTCATTCCGATTTGATGTGAAGTTTTCGATCTAAAATATCAAATGGTGCATATGGGAAACACTTGCAAGCTTCAAAATGGCCGAATTTCAGCAAAAATGTGAAAGGTTGCTCACAACAAACAATTATGCAAAGTTTCTTGCCTATCTGAGAAGCTCAGCAAAGCACAACCACGTAAATTTAGCATCGGAGTCTGCTTCGACCACAAACCAATGTATTAATATTAAATTATATTTTTCCGCTCTCATACTCTCTCAACATCATGCGTGATATTGGAACAAAATACCATGCTTGATATTGATATTACAAATGCCTTTGATATTGCGAGACTATTTACAACATGTAAAACTGAAGCTGAGAATTGACCAAAAAGGATTCCCTTGCACATTGTGTTCTTAGACAGAGAGAGTAGAGTTGGCTATCTCTCTTTACTCTTCACTGATGGCAGACACGAAGTTACTGCTGCCAGCAGTGATGGTAGTTTCGGGTTGCGTTCGGATATTGAGATTTTCACGCCTGCTTGTATTGGTGCGCTTTGTAAAACTGTGGTAGTGAAAATTCGAGGAAAATACATAACAAACCGCTGTCAAATTCATTTTAACCAATCGAATGACATACATTTTGAGGTTAGCCCGAGGAAAATAATAAACAACTTTACATGGCAATAGATCTCCGTTAGTACGCGTGCGTTTATCGTCACTAATATCTATAAAGCAAAAATCATGAAATAAGTTAAGTTTGAATAATGGTTTGATAAGAATTGTAGCTGTTTTGATAGCTTCATATTCGAAGCTACAATATTACAGCTTGAAATATCATCCGAAGCTGCTTGCTTGTTGATTCTTGTCTACGAAAATCAAGCGTATTTTACCAACACTGCGTGACATGAACATTGTAAATCAAGCAAGCAGATAGCATAAGAGAGCCTTAACAAATGTAATTAATCAATGTTTCATACAAAATTGAGGAAAAATTAATTACCCTCTCACCACACTCCTTTTCACATTCTATTGATCAAATATTATTTTTCGTTTTGTTATCTAAAGATCAAACAATTTGATTGATAGTACAGGTAATTGATTTTCAACACTTCCATCACCGATTTTTAATAATCTGCTGAAGTTGGTACAATAACGCAAAGTAACACCGTCACCGAACACAGAAGTCAATTTCGGTTGGTGTTTTTGATTTATATGATTGAGTTGTTGATTGCGAGAAATCGACGATAGAAGTGACCAAGGTCAGTTGCCGATAATCAAGTCCGACCTGTATATCTATCAGCTATCAACCAAATTAACACACTCCTTGTTTCACATGCATCGGCATGTTCGAACATTTCGTAGACTGTTCACCTTTAATCCATGTTTTCGTCTAGAAACAAAACCCTGCAGACACGTTTTGTGGGCATGCTCGTTGTTAGTGTGTTCCAATAACTGTTCGATAGAGGAAGCTACATGCTAAAACGTATTCAAAGTTGAGCATTTTGTTGAACACATAATAGCGGAAAATTGTGTACGTTTGCTCGCTTTTCTATTTTCGTTTGCATTACATTTTCCTACTACATCCAACACTCAAAATATTTGTTCCTGTGTCTGCTTCCTAAATAGGCAAATAAACCACTTAATTTTGATATTTATATCAATTTCAGAGAAACCGACCGATCGCACATCCGGCGTCCAATCAGCACCAAACGTGATCCTCAATTCAAACACAAGTGAAACTGATTTGCCAATTGTACTCTACGCGGGACTACTCCTACTCGAACAAAAAACTGTGCCATCATCGTCGCAACAAGCCACACCACTCAAGTGGTTGGTGATCAAGTGATCTATCTCGGAAGTGCTACGAGTATACTGCCGTGTAGATAGCAACTGAAAGTGTGTGACCAGTGGTCGAAATCGGGGCATGTGATAATTGAATATCGCCACGGGAAGAAAACAGTCAAACGACCAAGTGCCAATCACCACCAATCGAGAGCAATTTCTCAGCCAGTATAAGAAGAAAGGTCACAAAGATTAGAATTGGACATTGTCGAGAGTGAGAACCAGGTGCCCATTGGATCTATTACCTAAGATAATTGAATCGTTTGAACTAACCTAAAAATAGTGGCTGTACTAATATAGTTGAGAACTAAGTTGTTACTAAGTGTCAGCGTCAAAATGGCAAACAGTTTGTTGATAAAAGTGATTTTCACTTTGCTGGTGATGGGCAGATGTATAGACAGTGCCAGAATCTTGGCAATATTCCCGGTGCCTTTCAAAGAGCATCAGCTGGTTTACAGGCCGCTAATAGAGCAATTGGCGAATAGGGGTCATCACATAACGTTGCTGACTACGGATCCCATTGATCTTCGGGTAGCTGGCAATGGAAGTCTAATTAAATGGATAGACCAGATCGATCTCAGTTTTGTATATAATCTACCCGTTCTGGAGGATCTTAACACGGTTAGCTTGAATGCTAAGGACATGTTGAGAAGCATTTTCAACGTGATGAGAAAAATCTCAGAAGCGGAACTGCAGCACCCATCCGTGCAGGAGTTGATCGCAGGAAACGAACGATTCGACTTGGTAATGGTCGAGTGGTCCGGAGTGAGCTTGATGAACGCTTTTGCCCATCACTTCAATGCTCCGCTGGTCGGAATCACCAACGGGGGCGCATACATCAACGCTCACGAAGCATTAGGCAATCCGAATCACCCAGTCGGCTACCCGAGCATTTTTATGCCATTCACCGAGGATTTGAGCTTGCTGCAAAGAATTTCTAGTGTGTTCTTCACCATTTGGTACCGGTAAGTGTGCGACGAATTTCTTTGCAAAAACTGCTACTCTATCATAATAACCACACGGACTACTGTAAGGGTGGAGGCAATTATCAATATTACAAACTAACGAATGGGGCAACTGAACCGTGAACTTTAGTAGCGCGAGTCACCATGCGATCGGTGGTTGTAGTTGCGGCAAGAGTTTGTCGACTTATTAACTTTGGTACGCATTCAGACGGAAACTTACGTCGTTCACTATCGGCTGTAGTAAAGAGTACTTGAGCTAGATTTGCGCTGGGCGGCTGCTACTAGTACCAAGCATATAATTATTCCATTGACATGCACATTTTATAGAGGGCCTTCAGATAACTTCAATCCCGGATCGGTCAAGAAGGTTTTCTGGTCGTACCTATATTTTTCGATTTCTCTGCTGAATACCAAGTTAAGGGTCGATGCAAATATCCAGTTGGAATATAAACGCAAAAAAAGAAGAAGAAAATAAGAAGAATCAGCTTCATATTGCTTTGCAATTGCCGATTGCCATCACTCTAGCTTATTGGATGACGGTTTGCTGATTTAAATGAGTTTTAATGATTTGAGTAGTTTCGTACTGATCCGATCCAACATTATTTTTTTTTTTGCTCTCAGTGCCGATAAGTGTAACTTGTTGACACTGGTTTGAATAACATAATGGCCTTCTTTCATTAACTTTATTTTAATAACAGTGTCGAAAAGTACTAATTTTCAACGCCCAAATCCGAAATGATCTACTTTTCGACACTCTTTTGAGTGCAAACAATGTTGTATGCAACTCGTAGCAAATTTTGTTTTTCTTCAGCTCTCTTCGTAATTATCCAATTCGGCAAGCTTCGTTGGATAAACTACCGCTCGTGCTGAAAAAATCATCAATTCAGTGCCAACATTTCAAAGGAGCGTAATTGCATTTGTAAACAATGGCTTTTGCCGCTGATTTCTCGCGAATAAAAGCTCACTCATGAAAAATAATGACACCAGCAGGTAGAGGAATGTTTCCTCTACCAGCTAGCATTGTAATTTTGGAGAGGGGTAAGATTTCATTCGCGAGAAATTGACGGCTAAAGTCATTGTTTACAAAAGCAATTACGCCCCTTTGAAATGTTGGCACTCAATTGCTGATTTTCACAGTATTGAGCCTATTTATGAAGAATCGTCAACATTTTCTAGCATTACCCTGTAAATATAGTACTCGAACTATATAATTGTAAAGGTTCATCCTGAAACTGATAAACAGTTAGCTAAACCTGTTTTACTAATGCGCAAAATTACATCACCTTACGTCCTTCCAAGTTATTTACGCATATGCGAAAAATATTTTCAACTCACATCGACCGATAAAAATCGTTGCCATCAACGTTTGCGTCACTTACTTATCACCTCTTATCACATTCACGTAGCTTACGTCACCTAAGAGCTAATCATATGTTACTCTCCCTACTCTTCTGCAGTTTCTACTACTACACCGAAGAGATCCCCAAGCAGAATCTCATAGCCAGTGAAAATTTCGGCGGCGACATTCCCAATCTCTTGGAAATCGAGCAAAGTGCCGACCTGCTGCTGATCAACTCATACCAAGCATTAGGCCATGTCCGCCCGGTTGGTCCAACCACAATCTATCTAGGAGGTATCCATCGAAAGTTGAGTCTCGGCGACGAAATGCGTGAGGATCTAACTCTGTTCCTGGAGCACTCCGAGGAACCGATCGTATACGTTAACCTGGACCTTGACCCGGTAGTCGATCACTATCGGCTGGAGAAAATCATCAAATCACTGGAAAGCCTTCAAGCCACCATCGTGTGGAACTGGAATCATGGACAGTTTGTCAACACCTCCACCAGGATCTACCAGTCGTTCAGTCTACCCCAGGAGGAAATTCTAGGTGAGTACAATGACCGCCAGGATCAGTGCTTTAAATTGCAAACATTCAAAAATAATTTGGCTGCCGGCCGGTTAATGCGTCGCAATTTTTCGTATCTAGAAGCGAGCATCACAAAATACGCACGAAATGCTTAGGGAGGCTCGGCAACCGGTTTGGCAGACCGCGTGCTCTCTGTAATTGCGCAGCGCGTAGATTCGAAATATATAGCAGCGAAAGCGAACGACGATAGCGAAAACAATACCCCGCTATAAACCTGGCGGCCTTGGAATCACGTTTTCTTGGTGGTTTTCGCACTAACGGCGACGATGGTCGTAAAGCGCTACATATTAAATAAAAAATAACCCCTCGACAGGGGGAGAGAGGAAGGGTTTGTTTTGCGAATATCAACTCTTTGTGAGCTTGTTTTGCGGGTAGTTCTTGAGAAATACGCATGCGAACATCATCGCGGCGCCGTTATGTGGCGTTCGCCACTTCCTGGTCGTCTGCGCTCAAGGTTGTTGGGTCTGAATAATGGGACAGTCAATCAACAGAATTCATCTGAATATTTATAATCGAATACCGGTATAATTTCTTTTGCATAAATAAGAGGAGTAAATAATGCTTCACAAAGGGTTAAGGGTAATAATTGATATTAAATTGCTATATTTGAAGCCTAGCAAATATCCCACAGTGGCTCAGGCAGGAAAAGTAGTTGGTATAAAATATGTTGATGCATAAATTGCCACTATACTAGTGAAAAGGCTTTCATAAAGTTATGGCTGACTAATACATTGATGTTGATTAAAGTTACAAAGACGGTGGTCTCAAAAATTAAGGGTTTTAATAATGACACTCTTTCTAGAAACCTTTTCTAAAGCTATAAATATTAATTAAAGCAATATTGCTGAAGAAGCCACAAACATGTTTTTTTTTTTTCATGCACCATAATTTTTATTAGATCATAAAAAACAAAAACAAAATCGTATATTTTTAGATTAAAAATATTTCGTAGGTGTTGTCGATTACAGATTAAATAATAACTTATACAGAAACACATTTTTCTAGAAAAAGGTAGCTTTTTTCATCATTTTATTCAAGATTAACGAATAATTTCTGCAAAAATAACTCCAACATCTTTAGTTGGGCGGAAGAAGAGAGATATTAAACTTGCTGCAACGAAAAGTTAAATTTGAAATGTACATTTTATTGATAAAAAAAGCGCAAAATTTCCATCAAGCATTGTGTAATTTACTTGCTATCTTCGTTTATGCAAATGATCTGTAGCTTTCTCCAAGAAAAATGAGTGGCTTCAATTTAACAAATTCAAATGTTTCATGGTATTTTCCAAATGTTTAAAACTAAAAAGAACTATTTTCTATTGCAATTGCTTATTTGACCATGGACCTTCTACTAAGGTATTCTCGTCAAATTGCAATTATATGAAAAACCTGGCAAATTACGTTTGCTCAGTCGCAAATATGTAAGCAGATTGAAGACTAAGCAATCGTGCAGGGTATCAAAGCACTGAGAGCATGCAACATTATAGGTAAAAGGCTTGCGACGGTTGTCATGACAAACTCTCCCTGCAACTTAGATTGATCGAAACGGTGGAAGGTAAAATATAAATTTCTTGCATATTTGTTTGCAGCACACATTAGATGATAAATGTAAATCAATGGGGAAATCGTTTTTTGTTTTACTTTACTATTGAGGTTTATAACTAGTTGGCTAGTTCATCTCATATGGGTAATTTTTATCTTTGTTGCTTGCCGTTACTGATCATCCATTATTATTAGGCTCATATGTCGCATGTAAAAGCTTGCCTTAAAATTACTTTGACTTGTAAACGCCAAAAGTACTTGAAAATGTTAAACTGACCTTACTGAAATGTCTAGAGCAACGCCAAACTAAGTGTAGGAGTGACGGTGCCGGTGGTGAAGTGATAAGCGTGATTGTTTCTCTGGGTCTGAGTTCAATCCCAGCAGAGGTCGTTGGGATTTTTCTGAGGCGAAAAAATCTCTGGCCACGTCTTTCTTCAGAAGGGAAGTAAAGCCGTTCGTCCCGGCCCATGTGTTGATGGGTGCTATCTTCCCGGCTATTCGATTGCCGTCAATGGATGGCAATAGATTTCCGTCAGTGATTGGCACTCGATTGCGGAACAGACACCGATGTTAAATAATGGGATTAATACGAAGAATAAGAAGAAGAAGCTCTAATACTACGTTCAAGCTATAGCTGATATCATGTAATATAGGCTATCTTTATATCAAAAGTCAACTATTTCCGGTGAAACTTTGACGTCTCTATATCAAGTGATATAGATTGATTCGTGATATAGCAGCTATATCATGTTCTATATTACGTGATATCCCGTACAAACGATCTGTCAATCTATATCATGAATAGTTCTTGATATAGCTCATATCATGTTGTGTACTTCGTAAAATCCTGAAAAGCAGTGACTGGCAACCAGGCCACGATACAGCTGGTCGCTATTTTTTCGGCTTCAAATGTCACTTTTCCGTCGAGTCAATCAAAACATTTAAAAAATTCAAGTTGGCAGTTTCAAGCATCCATTCTAAATCTTCTAACCCACCTACCCGAGACGAAGTTCTTCCGCAATCAATACCATCGGATTGGCTCTATTCAACTGTCGCCAACTAATGGAAGGTTTCACGGTGGTGATCGCCTTCGGAGTGTGCCCGTCGAACAAAAAAATGTAGCAAATCAAATATTTTCTCCGGTACCCAACCAAAACGTCCCGTCACCAGAACGGACGCCATTTTGTGTCGACTGCCCAGGTACTCTAGGAGGAAATCAAGAACCTTTCCCGATGGGAAGTCATCAACATCAAGGTGAAAGTCGATGAATAAGAGATTTCTCGTGAGTGTGATCCAACTGTAATCAATGGTGCTGGCTGAGCGCTACGCATGTTGTTTCTGCCTCAGACGTTCGATGATACTAAAAAGATCCGCATTTGGGCTTTCTTTACCTTGCTCTGGCTGTCCTGTGTAGCCTGCAAAATCGTTTTGAAAGTGAAAATGCAGCGTTGAACAGCTTTCCATTTGTATGATATGAAACTGGTCATTCTGCAGTAAATATTCCGACACTCATTGGTCAAAAGTATCCGGATCTCCTCGGTACTGGCTTCATACGCTCTGAAAGCTTCCACCTGAAACCGCCGTCAGGATAGCTTTCCACAGTAAACTCAAATCCCTGCTGCTGCACATACAAACAATAACAAAGTTGTTCTTTTTTCTCGCTTCATAAATGACAAACCATATCAAGTCACCGTAATGTGAACACCTCAATATCGATGATATCGATATCATCTCGTTATATCACGTGATATAGAGCGTAATGAGAACGAGGTATTAAACGTGCCATCATTAAAACACCAATTCAAATTGTTTTTAAAACCTCAAAATAACAAGAAAATTTTCAAAAAGGTCCCTTAAAATTCAATTTTAAAATAAGTCCAGTAAAATATTATAAATATTTGTTTAGAAATCATTCAACACAATTGCCTTTATCAAAGTTGTGAACTGCTGAACCGAATACATCAAGAATTTCGAGCGATTATATAAGTATAGAGGCACACAATTTAATGCTTACTAACTAAACAGTCATCAGTACGGCTCTGAGAATGGGACACTGAATACGTCGAAATTCAAATAGTTCTAGATAGAGCTGGAATTAGGGCCTAAAAGCTTTTGTAAACAATGGGTTTTCTCGATGATTTCTAAGAATACAGGATGCGCCAACGCGAACCAACATAACCATCGGGTAGAGGAAGACTTCCCCTATCTGATGTTGATATTGCTTTGCTTGGGCGAGCCTTGAGTTACTGGAAATCATCGATAGAAGCATTGTTTACAAAAGCTCTTACGCCCTTATTCCAGCTCTATCTAGAGTTAATCCATTAATCCGGCTGTCACGGAAATTTTCCTTGCAAATGTAGAAAATTATCATATCTGGGATCTTGAATGTTTGTGTGAGTCTATGATCCCGAGTCCGAGGTACTGAATTTTCTGAAATATCTCGGATCTCGAATCGATAGCCCGGTTTCAAATTTCTTCGATAAAACCGAAAATTTATGCATTCTGTTAAAAAAAGCCTAAGGCTTGTATCAAGATAAACCCCCTTATTCTACGAGTCACGTGACTCTCTCTCACCGGTGAGGTGACAATTGTCACCTCACCGGTGAGAGAGAGTCACGTGACTCGCAGAATAGGGGGGAAAGGTTGAGATTGAGATTTTATTAAGCTCAGAACCTTGAGTTCATTTTCTTGGTCTAAGTTTCAAACCAACAAATTAATCCAGAATGAAACCGCGATCTTCTTTTCGAATTAAAAGTTGGAAACGAAGCTTAAATACCACAAACTGTCCCTATCCAATATTTTTGGAATGCTTTTCATTAAGAAGCTTGTTTTTGCGATACGCTGCGAGCTGGACAAAAATTATAGAACATTAAGTATTGATATAATTTGTAAACAGTTGTTCAAAATCTGAATCCAATAAAATCATTTTAAAATACTTGTGTATAACTAACACAAACTTTTATTTTTTTCAAAGTCAACAAACTAAGCCTTAGTTAGTTTGTGTTAGTTATACACAAGTATTTTAAAATGATTTTACTGGATTCAGATTTTGAACAGATCCTATTCAAACGACGTCCCAGCATTTTTTTTCCGAATGCAAATAATTTTCGCCAAAAAAAAAACTTCTATTTATAATTCCACATATCGCATCTACACCCACAGTGCAACGAACCAATCGAGAGTAAAAACAACAACTTGTTTTGAGGATTAGATATTTAAATTCCTATTTGCGTGACTGTAGGGAATGGTGGCAAATCGCCAACATCCACAGCAAGGGTTGAGCAAGCGGGACGAGGGTTTGTTTTTCGAAACTCTCCGATCTCGTAATGCATGCCACTTTGAATGGTGCAATCAACGGGGTGGGTGAGCGAGAGAGGGGCTTGTTTTTCTTACTCTGGCTGCATTATAACTGCGACTAAGCACATGTACTTATAAGTATCTATTTACTACATCAATAATTGTTGTTTTGCATCTCTGGGGGCTCGTCCACTCATATCGTTGCTTGTATTTCACAGCAATGGTAGTAGTAACTGTTGTTGTTTGTTTCACGATGCACTCATTCAAGTTGCATAGCGTAAAAGTGACCGTGCAATGAATTACTATGTATGAACCTGAACGTGACCGCCAATACCCCACTCGAGTAGTTTGCAACTCAAGTAAACAAGTACGGGTGGGTGGAGGCAGACTGAGAAAAACAATATGCGTTGATAGGAAGCACCAAGTTGTTTACGTGTAACGCTTCGGATTAAAAAAATGCATTTTTATTCAAGTGCTATTAAATGCAATACATTTTATTCTCTGCCATACCTAACCCACCGGCAGCTGTTGTTTTTGATACGAGCAAAAGTAACACAACAAAACTAAATATGTTTTTCCTCTATTGATCAACAGCGCACCCTAAAGTGAAACTATTCATCACCGGAGGAGGTCAACGGAACGTCGAGGACGCTATTCATCACCGGGTTCCGGTGCTTGGCGTTAGTTATTCCACCTCGTTGGAGCACTATCTGAGGCAAATATCCAAATACGAAGCCGGCATAATCTCGCTCATTGATTTCGAAACTCAAACCACCATCACCGATAAGCTACAGGACGCCTTCCAGCTTGAAATGTAAGTACCATTGCAAAGATGTCACCAGAAGCACACTTGATCAATCACGTCCCACGGTCATCTTCAATTGCTAAATAATCACTTCGCGAAGCATTAATGCGCTCCACAAACCAATCGCTGTACAACCGCAGTATCAAAAACGTACCGCGAATGCTAATTTCTTTCTTTAACGCTATTTTTTCCCCATCCTCCAATTCCAGCTACCAATCAAACATGGACAAACTTAACCGGCTGCTGGCGGATAAACCGATGGACTCGCTCAAGCGGGCACGCTGGTGGATCGAGTACGTCATACGAAACCAAGGCACGAGGCATTTGCGCGCGCCGCAACTCTCGTGGTTCCAGTACTTGATGCTAGATGTCACACTGACGGTTGCGGTCCTGGCTACACTCGTCGGCTTAGCAGTTGCCTACCTTATCGGGCGAGCGGTACGTTACTCCAAGAGTTTACCGATCGAAATGGTAACGCGAGGCAGCCGAAAGTGCAAGCAGCTGTGAGAGATTAACGCCTGACGATTGAACGACTTTCCGACAAGACTGCTCTCATTGCCTTTGCTGGGTGTGCGAATGAAGAAACCACCGGTAGAAATGAATAAAATATTATGAGTGTTCTGATAATTTACGATGTTGCAAGCCAACTTGAAGCCATTTGTTTGTTAATGTTAGTTTATAAGACGCTAAATTGTGATATTAGCTTTTAAGAATTGAGAAGATTTAATGATGAATATATCTGAAAATAACTAACCGCTGACATCGTTTTTGTTTCAAAGTTTACTTCTTATTATTTTTCTTCAACGCATTTCAAGCATTTTGCTTATCGGATATTAACTTATTGCGTGCTCTTAACTTAATGTTCTAGATGCACTTCCACAGATATAAATTGAGAGCTTTCGATACCTGGGCCATTTTTGCATTAGTATAATTGTGTGGCAAATACAATCATACTCTATGCCCTGGAAGTCGAGAAATTTTCCAACCCGAACCTGACCCGACTGCTTATTAAAGCTAAAATGCTACTATTCGGAATTACGAAGGTAAAGGTTTGATTGCTCACTCATCGCAATTGCTCATTACAGCTAAAATCGCTAATTGTGAACCACTGAAAGCAAAATTGAAAAGTTTTTACCTCCTCTTCTTGCATCTAACATAAATATAATATTATTATACTTTCTCATAGTTTCATAATTCCGAAAAAATAGCATTTTAGCTGTAATGAGAATGTGAAAGCTTGAGAAGCAGTGTTATATTTCTAACAATATCTCTACTATTTCTGACTCTTTACCTAATCCAACGGTACGTAAAGAAATAGGTAAATAGATTTAGAAGTCATCCATTTCTCGGTTCATATCCATTCGAAAAATATAGGTTATGTGCTTAGTAGGATGGAAATTAGATCAAAAATCCTAACGGTTATAAATGTTTATTTTAAAAGATAGTAGTAGTCTGATGCACGGAGGGGCTGGCAAAATCGGGTCATTACTGTAATTCAGAACAGAGTCACAATTTTATTACTGTAGTTTCCGCATACAGTGAATTTACCAAAAAATACATAATAAGTCACGAGATCAAGGCTTAAGAAAGGAATTTCTTTCAAAACTAATTAATCATACTCAATGTTATGATAAGTACCGGTTTCCGCCAAGGAGTTTACCGTTTTCACCAAAAGAGAATTGCAAATTAAAGATGCAAAAACAATCACAATGAGGAATAAAATCCTACACATAATGTGCTATGACACGCACCACCGCGCTATGAAGCATTTGATGGAGACGCATGGCCATTTACAAGAGTTTGGAGCACAGTTATAAATCTCGTTTAGATAGTGACTAGCATGCTTTTGCTACCGAAATATTCCCTTGACACTGGAAATCCTAGTGGTCATCAGAATAAAATAACTCTCTCAACGACATTGTTGCATAATTTCAAGCTAATGAAATCTATACAAAAATATTATCTAATTTGCATCCTACTAAACACAACCCGAATATTACAGTGATCTGACGTAGAACTACGAAAATTTCAATCAATGAATAAAACAAAATAGACAAATAAGTGAGGTTGTATTATTTATGTACATTTAGTATGAGTATCGGGCTCCACTACCGCATCGGCAGTCCAAGAAAGAATGAGTAAATTCAAGTATATTAAATGTATAGGGTAGGATGATCTAAAACGTACCCTTGTTGTAAAATGGCCCCGTGCTGTTGTTGATAGCTTTCCGTTTATCAATTCATGAATTTTTTGAGCAGCATTACTAGTTCAATACGTGAACTAGGATTCTGGCACATAAAACGCTAAAATTAGAAATGGGAGCGCACCGCAAAACCGAGCAGGGCCATTTAATCCCAGAGGTACATTGTGGACTGTTCTCCCCTACGCAGATTTTTAAGCAAAACGCTCCACCCATTTGCTATAATATGCACATTTGACTTTTGTTCATAGGTTGAATTTAGTGTTTCGGTATCTGGACCTGACGTATGTGTTAAGGATTCGTTGTCATCCACACTCAGTAGCAAAGCAAGCACGAAATTATGATAATTAATAGTGAACTATTAATAAACAATTTAAATTTAATTACCTAAAAAATCTTACATCAATTCTGATGCAAATGGTGCATTAACAATTTGTGTTCCATGTCCCCTTTTTCTAAATTGCTCACCACTGTTCCCCCTACAACAAAGTTAGATAGTTAAATACAAGACAAATTAGACAAACACACGTTTACGTACAATTTTGTAAACATACTATAGTCCATTGAATCGTTTACGCCTTTTCAAGGGTTTATACGTTTATAATGAGCTTTGTGAAAAGCCCAATTTTTGTAAATTACAAGTAATAGTCAATGAGAAACACCTGAACATTTTCAGTTGGCGTTTTAATCTTTGGAGTTGTGATTGACAAAGCACTCTCAACGTCTAGTGTGGTAAACTTTTTCGGTTTCATTGACAACATTGAAGAAAATCTAGATCCGCACAAATACTAAATACGTATGGCAGCAGCACCCGCAATGCTTCTTCATTCCTTTATTAAACGTCAGTCTCTGTTCCGCAATCTAGTGCCAATCACCGACGAACATCAGCTTCCACACCTGCGTAGGATATCGCACCCATTCAACATACATAGGCCGGGACTAACGGCTTTACTTCCCTTCCGAAGGAAGACGTGATCAAAGATTTTTATGCCTCAGAAAAATCCCACCGACCCGGCTTGGATTGAACCCAGACCCTTTGGGATGAGAAAGCAGTCACGCTTACCTCTACACCAACGGCGCCTGCTCACCTGCAAATGCGTATTAAACAATATTACCATGGACCAAGTTCAAGAAGACGACTCTAGCCAAGATACAGGAAAGATTTTTATTTGCTGTCGTGAGATGCTCGCTCTGATGTAAAGAAAATCGACGACAAATTTAAATTTGTCTGCTAAAAGATAGAGTAAGATGAGATTAGATGGATTTTCTCATGAAGCAACAACATAAAGGGTAATACGGTCAAAATTTGGTCAATATCAACTTGACGTATTTCTTTCAATTTTGCATTTAAAAAACCTGAACACCCCTCATTTTGAAGGTGTGTGTGTGTAGAATGTTGCTCCTATTTTGATTTTGGAATTCACTCTTCAGTTGTCAAAATGCCGTCCAAGCAAGAAGAGCAGCGTATCAAAATTTTGCTCGCGCATCGCGAAAATCCGAGCTACTCGCACGCAAAGTTGGCAAAATCGCTAAAAGTTGCCAAATCAACCGTTACAAATGTAATTAAAGTGTTTGGGGAACGTTTGTCGACAGCCAGGAAGTCTGGATCGGGGGGAAATCGAAAACCGGAAGCCGCTGAGACGACAAAGAGAGTTGCCGGTAGTTTCAAGCGAAACCCTAACCTCTCTCTCCGAGATGCCGCAAATAAGCTGGGTGTATCGTCTACAACCGTGCATCGAGCCAAAAAACGAGCCGGACTATCGACTTACAAGAAGGTAGTGACTCCAAATCGCGATGATAAACAAAATACGACGGCCAAAGCGCGATCCCGGAGGCTGTACACGACGATGCTGACGAAGTTTGACTGCGTGGTAATGGACGACGAAACCTACGTCAAAGCCGACTACAAGCAGCTTCCGGGACAGGAGTTTTATACGGCAAAAGGAAGGGGAAAGGTAGCAGATGTTTTCAAGCACATGAAACTGTCAAAGTTCGCAAAGAAATATCTGGTTTGGCAAGCCATCTGTACCTGTGGCTTGAAAAGCAGCATTTTCATAGCTTCCGGGACTGTCAACCAAGAAATTTACGTGAAAGAGTGTTTGAATAAACGTCTGCTGCCTTTCCTGAAGAAACACGGTTGTTCCGTACTGTTTTGGCCGGATTTGGCATCTTGCCATTACGGTAAAAAGGCCATGGAGTGGTACGCCGCCAACAACGTGCAGGTGGTTCCCAAGGACAAGAACCCTCCCAACACGCCAGAGCTCCGCCCAATTGAGAAATACTGGGCTATTGTCAAGCGGAACCTAAAGAAGACCAAAAAACTGCTAAGGGCGAGCAGCAGTTCAAGGCAAACTGGCTTTCTGCGGCGAAGAAGGTGGACAAGGTGGCTGTACAAAATCTGATGGCAGGGGTCAAGCGTAAGGCCCGGCAATTCGGATTTGGAAAAGCGGAAGCCTAACTGAATATTTTTCCTGAATTTTATACTAATTGAACTTGAAAAAGAAATTTAATTTGATTTTTTAAATAAACGATTTCACCGATTTACACGCGTTTTCCCTTGACCAAATTTTGACCGTATCACCCTTTATATTCGTAATCGCAGAAGGGAATACTTTTGGGCTGAATGCAATAAACTGTCAATAATGTAGTGAACATTTCCTACTAGAAAGTGTAAGTAACATGTCAAGCACAATTCTAGTCGCCCCTCCCACTTGAATGAATCCGACCATTCTCCTTACATCAAAACTGATTCAAATGGTGTATTCACAATGTAAATCGATTCATAAATGGCCAAGTTATAAGCATTTAAAACCATACATGATTTCGTGACAGTTGTTCCTCAGCTATCTACAGCAGCAGTTGATAGCGCGATAGCCTAGGATATGTGATACCCGCTATTATATAGTTGCTCTTGTAATCAGCTCGGTCGCTTAAGTGCACCCCACATGACAGAAGTCTCGTCAATATTTTCATCAATACACACTTAGAAAAAAATCATGTAAATTTAGGTGCTCTGAGAGTGACATATACGAGCGTCAATTTTGACATAAATTTGAGTCATAACAGACGCGAAATGTAGTCCAATCAGACGTACTTTTCGTCGAGCAACGAACTTTTCAGTCTCGGAGCACTAAATTTTACGTGACATGTTTGTTTACGTCTCATATTTTATGTCAAAGACGAATTCCGTCACGTGTAAAATTAGTTTTTTCTAAGTGTGTATGTTCATTTCAATATTATCAACAATATGTTCGGGAGGTCATGCATACAGAGTCGCCCCTCACTAACATTGATGTAGCTGCTGGCATATTCCGAGTCAAATCACAACAACCTTGACAAAAGATGCCTAAGAATAGGCCCCATCTGCTGCTGTAGTTAAACAGTAGGGGAATATCAGTGGACATATTGAAATTTTTTTTTTTCGTAAATATACTCATCAATATATTCGTTGTCAATATTTGCATCAATAGGAGGATTGACAATATACTTGCCGTGTGATGCTTGCTTTAGAAGCGATATAATGTGTATTTCTGTTGAAAATGCATAAAAAAAA